CGCCTACGGGCAGCCTCTCCCTCCTGCCAGCCACGCCGAGCCCTATGGCCAGCCGTCGCGCCAGCCGCATTATCTGCCCAGCCCCACTGCAGGTCCGTACCCAGCTCATTCTGACTATGGTCCGCCTAGTGCTTCTCCAGATGAGGCGAGCCGTGACGCGCTGGCAGGCAGGAAGAGACTCCACCCAGAGCCTCACACTCCTACCCTGCCTCCGCCGCATCCTGGCTCAGCGTCACAGGCCCCTCATCGAGGCACTGGGCAAGATTATGCCTATCCAGAGCCACCGTCTCTAACATCGGGCGCTTCAACAGCATCGACCCCCGCTCCCTACTCATCCGCACCTCCTCCCGCCCAACCATACTACGCTGCTCAGCCTCCGCGTCAAGGCTCCCCACAGAGCGCCTATCGCTACGAGCCGAGTCGCACCTCGTCCTCGCCACACTCCCAAGCACCCACGACCCCTGGTGCCCCGCCGACGCCCTATTACGCAGCTCCACCGCAGCCCAACGGCGTCTTGCAGCCACCACCCGCGCGCACCGATGGCAGAACCCCACCGCCACCTACATCGCAAGCCTCGGCTAGGCCCAGCATGCGCATCAATGATCTCGTAAGCGATAATGGCCCCGCCCGCAGCTCGACCGATTCGTCCATGCTCAACATGCTCAACCGCCGCCCCATGTAAAAATCTGCCTCGCGCAAGTGGAGACGCTCTGGAGCTGGTCTTTCGAGAGCGCTACACATTTCGGATTAAGCGAAGAGCGAAGAGCAAAATTTCCCATCGAATCTGTCAGCCGTCGTTTACTGCTTTCCAATGTACAATCTATCTTCGCGTTCAATCGACGTTTGCTATCGCAAGGAGTTCTGGCTGGCAACAGCGTGATTTCTGGGCGGCTATCTGAATCTTCAAGAGCGACAAAGATCTTTCAACGTTTTCTACTTTAATACTCACGGATCATCCTACTGTCCCTCCCGGTCTTCCTTCTCGAGTGACCAAACTACTACACTGGGTGGTTATTCTGTCTTTTCCCGCAAACATTAGAACTGGGGTTGCATCATCACATGGAGGCTTCGTTGATATTTGCATCATCGTAGCGTGGGTTGGGTCCGGCATTCATGTGCTTCGCTGCATATTGGCTGGGGTAGTGGTCGCTTGTGCTTTTTGGTACCTCTTTCCTATCGTACGTTTTTACGCTGGTTTTTCGCGGTATTCCCCTTCTCGGCCTGTCTCTACCGCATCTGAAAGTCTATATGGGAACTATTACTGGTGGGTGGCAATCTGATTTAAATCGCAAAGCACTTTGAGAAAGCGAACGTTTCGCGCATCGTCTTGTACGTAGTCTCCTTTTTTCTTTACTAGCTATCTAAATTGGAGACGTTCGCTGGTGCAATACTTGCTCAACCCTCTGCATGCCTTGATGAACGGCGCACAGCATTTGGAGCACGTCAGTGCTGATGTGCTGATATTCAGTGCCGGATTTCCGACCTGATCCTACCCGTCGAACCACCTCTGATGCCCAGGTCGATCTGTCATGCTCACCCATCGCTCCTGCCTGCCGTGCCAACCAGCTTGCCCCTTGTACGACGGTATTGCCGAGACATGTGCCAGTGACAAATTTTGACATACAAATCACATCGCACGTTGCGCACGAAAAGCCACGCAGGGCAACCGACGGTAGATACACGAGAGCGGGTACGCACGTGTTGTACCTTCCTTTCCAGGGCAACACGTTCCATCCAAAAACAAAGGTCAACCAGATTCAGCCACCTCCACGCCCCGATCTTAATCCCATGGGGCGGACTTTGTTTTGGTATCGATCGTACCGTTACCATACCAAGTCTTCACTGACACTTGCCTGACAGGTGTACGTGCATGATTCAATTACGCCTACACGGAAAGGCACCGCACAGCACTTCTACCACGGTACGGACTCGGGGTCTCGGCGAGCCGGAGCGCTGCTACCACGCAAGTTTCGATCTGTCAGTCTCGAACTACATCGGCACGGGACGTGATGGGTTCCACGGTAGAAAGCCAAATAGAATCCTCTCAGCCCGTCGACTAGAACGTCGCCGTCTGTCATCTCGCGGTACGGCGCGTCCTGGCATGCACGATGTAGTCAACATGATTTCACCAGTACCACTATCACGATTGTGTCTCGCGGCTCAGACGCAGGGTGGACTACCATCGTCCGATGATGGCTCGATGGTACTATGCACTTGCACCAAATGCCACCAGACATCAGTTGAGGCTCTAGATTTCTAGCGTACCACGATATCACTTGGCCAGCTGATGAGCCCAGAGGCTCTATTACTCTTCTGTCTCCTCAAGCTGCCGCGCGGTGCAGCATCGTACCAGAGGCCAGGTTCTGGATCGCACTCCGCCGATGTTGACCTAATGAATGAAGGGCTTGGCCATACGCATGTCTCACATCCACTGGCTATTGACACGCTGGCCGTTGCATGGTTTGGCCGCTATAGCGTACCGTTCAAACTCGACCTTGACTAACGGAACGGTGCGAGCAGGCAGGACCTGTTTGATTCGCTGCCACAAGGGGAGACAACTCCGTCATGAGAACTGCCAGAGCATGCAGGGCAAAAAAGCAAAAAGGACGAGTTTGGTTCTAAAGTGATTTAGCGCACCGCCGTCTGCCTGCCTCGACGCGCATACTTTCTTTACCTGGGCCGCCAACACGGACACTATTCAGCTGACATATATCGCACCATTTAATTTTTCCTTCAGGCAGACAGACAGGTCATTCTTCCATGGTTCAGGGTTGCGGCGATGTAATCGAATCTGGAAAAGTATATCGTGGGCATCCGCATGTCACGAATCAACATTAGCCTGTCAGCGTTTCAGTTGAGCAAGAATTATCTTGCTCTCATAAGCCAGCCAGGACCAGGGGTGGTTTCTAGTATGCGACTCGCTTTCAGCCGATCGTAATATAGTAATCCCTCACACATCTATAGGGTCAATCGCTGTTGTACGAAACGAACGTGCTCGGTAACCCCCTCTAACTCCGAATTCGGACCTGGTCAAGCTAAATAGTCGTTGCCCGTCACGGGACGGTGCGAGCAGAAGTTTCGAGCCGGGATGTCGATGTCGCAAATAGCCGACTAGACTGAGTCGAGCAACGGGCGAGCCCTGACCTTTTCCCTTCCTTGTACAAGTCATGTTAGTGTACCGTTCTTTGTCTTCCTTCCTTTGGGCTTCGCAATCGCATCTCGGACGGAGCAAGTCCGAAGCCCTTGGTGTAAGCTGTAGTGAGAAAATGTAGTGCTGACCAATGGAAAAAAAGGTTGCGTTGGTGTACGATAGCGAAAGTCAAACTCTCAAGCGCGTTCAAGGCAGTTTTGATCCTGATCTTGCTTGCACATCGCACAGCCCGTCCCACTCCCTTGGCAACAACACACGGTCGCAATTTTTTGCGCGTGCGTCGCATTCGGGAGCAAGCACACGACGCGCCTCCACAAGTCATTTTTTCCCTTTGGCTGGTTTAGCCAGGTGCTGTGCTGTTGCTTGCCGTTGTCCGCCCGGCAGAAAGGATTCCCACCCTGGACCCATTTCCTCCGTGCCATCCCTTGCAACCACGCATGGCATGCTGTAACCGACATGTCAAATGTGCCACGTACGCCTGCGACCCCATCAGTTCCGCCGCCCGAGCCGTGTGTGTGTGCTCGCGTGTCGAAATCTGCGTTCCCATCACACATCCATCACACATCATCGCCTGACGGGAAGCAAGCAGCCTTGCCTTGCCTTGACTTTGAGCTTTTGCCAGTGCCAACGAACTACGCCGCATGGGCCGATCGTGTTGCTATCCCTGTTGGCGTGCTTTCCTAAGCTATCAGCATGCTTACCACACCACACGCCATTCCTCCGTCCATGTAACAACACTATTCTAATTCCACATGCTACATCCCACAAGCTCTCAGCGCTTAGAGGAAAAACTCACTGCATGCACCATCCCCCTCCCTCCCTCCCTCCACCAACAAACCAGCGGTGAGCAGCGGGAAGGAGCCCTGACCTACCCTGTGCTTGACCCTCTCCGTGCCCACTGCCCACACCATTGCTCTCCTCTTAGCGCCCTGTAGCATCGGCCCCAAGGATCTAGCGTACCGTGTTTCTTGCAGCGGAAAAGGGGTTAGGTTGGCTGGCGGCCTCGCTGGGGAGCCATGTGCGTGCGGTAGGGATCTGGGTTCATGCGGCGGACCGCAACATGTCAGGTTAAAGTGGAGATTGGGACGAGGGTAGGCGGGCGGTTTGGCCGATTTTGCCTTTCTGGTGACGCGGGGTGCGAGGGGATGAGCGAGGTTGGAGGGGGGCTGTGCGAAGTATGTTGGACGTGGGACGAGAGATGTTTTGTGCTAGGTTGGGTGGGCTGTCGCGGTTTTTTCACCGTGTCACTGCTTGACATGCGTAGTATGATTATGACTCGATGGAAGCGGCACAGCAGTTTCTTCGCGTCTGATGAGGCTGCGCCACTTGCAGGCATGATAGATTGAGGCTGCTAATTGCTCATCTTCAAGTCGCATAGAGATAGACAGGCGCTATGCTATGTACGGATGATCCCATTGCTAAGCTACACGTATACTAGAAACACGAACGTATCCGCGGATACGTATCAGTTGTGCCATATCTTTCCGTCCTGTAGTCATGAGCCATGGAGGCTTCTATTTAGATTCCATCTCGAACAGAACTTACAAGCCCCGGGAAGTGCAAGTAGCTCAACGAGCTTCCGACAGCGTCTTTGAGATGTCTAGGAATATCCGAGCTCAGAAGGATTGTTCAGGATGCACATCCCACCTCGTACAAGAAAAATCTGAACAGGTCTGCAGACTACATTAAAACAAAAACTTGCAAAGTAGGTGACCCAACGCCAACGTAGGCTCCAGGCTATTCATATTTTTCCTAGGTGGGTGTGATCCTCATAACGGCCATCATGGCGATCCTTCGCCATCTTTGAGGCTCTTGCATGTTCATGCGCTGTCTTCCTCCTCAACCTTGCTCAATGCGAAATGGCCCCGCTAAATCCCAAAACAGCAGTGCATATCCTCCAGTCGCATTCTCGCCCTTTTGGGTTTCCGAATTGGAAATTCTGCTCGAGTTTGAGCGAGCGTTGCGTGAACACTCTCTCGAGTTGTGCTGCTGACGTTGACCGGAAGAGAGTTGTATGACCAACTCGGGTCAAGTGGTACTTTGACCTGTCCTCAGGGGCGCCGCCACGTAACCAAGCGAACGGGGTCTTACCGGACTGAATAACAGCCAGGTTTCGGTTGAGTCGTTCACTCAAATTCTTGAGAGTCCAAAGATTTTCGAAGACAGTCTCCAGTATCCAGTAGCTCAACGACTGGGTGCTTCTCACGTCTTCATACTCAGGGTCCATGACCTTCTCTTGCAATTCCGCGGAAATTCCGATCTTACTCATAATGGTCCGCTCGTCAACAGAATCATGACCGCCGAAGTACGTAATGCGATCGATTATCACGTCTTCGAGGTCGGCTTCGTCGTCACGGGTCCAGACAACGAGGAGCGACTCTGCAGCGCTTGGCGTGAATCCTAGAAATTCAAAAGCCTGCATGGAATACAAGTTGAGTGGTACCTCGAGGTCAGGATGTGGTTGTGCAACTTGGGCAGAGGAGGATGACGCGCTGGATGCCATCACAGTATCCGGAGGTGACAAGAGTTGACCGGAGATTTTTCTTGTACCGTTGACCGGTTCTCCAACAAGCGTACGATCAAGCTTCTTGACGTTGGACAGGACCCATTCTGACAAAATATCCTCCGGTAGACCCATGATGGGCGGAGGTGTGGTTTTGATCAATCGAAAAAGAAGATGAGTGGCGAGAGTAGGTTTTTGGAAAACCAACTGTCTTTGGTAAAGAAAGAAAGACGAAGGAAGGAAAGAAAGAGAAGCGCAGACAGAATTTATATGGCTGTGGAAAGTGAAGGCAGGGTAAGAGCGAAGTAAAGGTAAGAGCGAAGTAAAGGTGGGGTGAGAGCGCGAGTAAAATCGGAGTGAGAGCGCAAATAAAGGCAGAGACTGGCGCGTGACCGTAGAGCAAACAGAAATCATGGTAGCGTTCGATGCTGGCGCCTCTGAGTCATAACACATCGATTTGCGAGCCAAACTTTGGAAAATGGCAGTAACCAAAGTTTCAAAGTTCCAAAGTTTCAAAAGTGGCCATCTTACCAAGCACCTTTGCAAGAAAGGAAGCCACGTGGGAGGTAGGACCTTGCCATACAAAATCGTCCGCAGGCTTAGTAAAATGCATCATGAACAAGTGAGATGTACGTAAGAGGTTCGAAATTGGTGGACAATTACGTCGATCTGAAAGCTTTGATCGTGTAAGGGATACCACTGATCGACGAGACACGTAGATTCTGTAACACATTGTTTTACGTGTTCTGTAAGTAATTGCAGAATGGGTCGGTAATTCATCTATCCACTCGCTCGAGGCGTGTAAGCAAAACAAGAGATGTCACGGCATGAATAAGGCGGGCAACATGATGAATATGCGGCTATTGAGATGGCTTCAGCCTTTCTATCAGCTGGTACAATGGTGGGAATAGAGTGTTTAGAAATGAATGCTCACTCCTCTGACCTTTTCAGCACTCACGTCCATGCATAGCACGATACAACCAGATCTGGGTTACATTTGCTTGAAGGAGTTATCTAGGTCTACAGTGTGAGACGTCTCACGATAGCTCCCACTCGAAGTAATCTCATACAGTCTTCCACCACTTTTTGTTGGTATCTCGACTAAGGTTTTATCTACCTTGGTTGAAGGCTTCGCTTGACACGCTCTCAGTCTCGGAAATGTACTGTCTGATACCCTTGTACCTCCACCGTCCGAAGTACGCGTTTGGTGTGGTAGCTGGGCAATCTAGCCCTGAGCCAGCTCCATTGCAAGTAGCATACACACCGATGAGTGTCCCTACAAACGAGCCCGATGGACTCAGTTGCTCTGTTGAAGCTCTGCCAAACGAGATCGGTCTTGACCTGCCGTGGGCTAGCGTAGCCGAGAAGACGTATGTCCTTGGATCCGGCATCGTGATCTCGAAGCGCATGGGCTTTCCATTCCAAGACGCGGGTACAGGCGTCTTCTTCTCCTGATGTTCCGTTGAGTTGTAACGCAGATATGTCGACCCATTAATGCGCATGAGTCCGAGCTGGATGTTTGCCGTCTGCCAGAGGAAGGCGGTCACACCAGCTTCTTCCCCATCGGCTTTCGGGTCGAAGGCTAGATCCACGCTGAATTTGAATGTGCTATCTGTCTGGCGGCGCCCGATGAAGTTCACAGCCCTCGAAGCTGGGTCAGACCCGCCTGGCGAGCCAGCGAGATTGTTGCGACCAAGGGCGACTTGCAGACCCTTTTGCGTTGTCTTGAACGCGCCATCGCGAGGAACACGCCAGTACACAAGGTTGCGTGGGATTGTCGAGTTTGAAGGGAAGTCGTAAACATCTGGGTCCGAATTGAAAGGCCCGTCACCTGGAACATCTCTTGAGCGCGCAGGTAGTTGCCAGCCAGTCATCTTGCCTCTTACAGGTTGGAATACGGGCCACTCGCCTTCCTCCCACGTAACTGGCGTGAGTACCATTTCGCGCCCCATGGGGAAGGATGTACCATTTGGACCCACGCGGGTCGCGAGCGCGCAAGACCACCATTCGCCGTTGTTATCTTGGAAAAGGTCTGCGTGCCCGACGGTCTGGAAGTACTCTGATGTACCGCGGTTCGTCAGATGTGGGTTGTATGGGCTGGGAGAGTAAGGGCCCGTGATATTCCTTGCGCGAGCCATAGTGACTGAGTGGTCTTCGGCTGTTCCGCCCTCAGCAATCAACAGATAATACCATCCGTCTTTCTTGTAGAAGTGTGGACCTTCGGGCCAAACGCCGCCGGTGCCATTCCAGAGCGAAATGACAGGTCCCATTTCGCCAGTATCAATGTCCATCTCCTGCACGATGATTCCCTGGGTTGCGACATACACTTTGCCGTCATCATCCCAGAAAATATCGGGATCGATCTTGGGAGCTTCGAACGTCACTGGATCGCTCCATGACGCGTCGTCGAAAGGATCTGTAGTCCTGAACAAGACACCTGCCTCCATGTCCGATCCGAGGTATTCGCAAATGACGTAGAAAACACCCTCGTGGAATCGCAGGGTCGCTGCGTACATGCCTCTTTGTTGGCCATCGCTCGAGTAGCTGTAGCTTGGGAGTTGCGTATCACGGTTCCATACGTGACTGATGTGTTTCCAGTCGACTAGATCTTTCGATGCGTAGATGGGTAGCCCGGGGAATGACTGCAGAGGTAGAGGTACGAAGTCAGTATATGTCTCACATGCACTTCGTACAGCCAGAACTCACGATGAATGTGGAAGTTACGCAGAAGAATGTCCCGTTCACGTTGACGCATGATGGATCGCTGTGCCAACCTGGAAGTACTGGGTTGAGGAACGTTGAGTTCTGCGCGAGCGCTGGAGCTGCGCATGCGAGGACAGCCGTCACGATGCTTCGTAGAAACCGCATCCTGAGGAATTTCAGAGGGTCTCGACAGAGTTCATCCTGTATGCGGCGATGTGGGATGCTTTATGCGTACCATCGGCCTTACGACCAAGAGGCTGGTACTTGCCTGCTGTGGAGAAGAGCGATCGACGGCCGTCTCGCGTACCAAATTGTGCTCATTTAGCCAGACTGCTTCCGCAGCGCTATTGCTGTTGTCATCGAACACACAACGTATTTTAACCGTTATGCAGGGTGACGCGAATATACGATGAGCTGCAGAGCCACCGGGCTTAATGAGTTTCCCAGATCCGAGGCTTCATAGAGATTGCGGAGAAATGTATGTCGATCTTCGCGAATGCGCCCGCTGACGTAAAGTTTTTCCGTGCCTGGTGATCGGATGCTGTGAAGCTTTCCAGAAATCCAGTATCGCGTTCCGGGGAACGCAGGTACGTGGCTGGATGCAAGCTGGCTGTCGTCAAACATCACATGCTTGAAGCTACACACCATCATCGCACTTAATAATGCGAATGAGATCGAGTATCTAGAAGGAAGTAGGCAAGATCGGGCTCGCTGTTCGGAACATTGAGTTCCAAGTACGCCGGGCCGTTAGATGGCGTACGCTGCACGTTCCAAGGTTCTGTTCAGGCAGGAGCGGGGTGCCCCGCTCTGGGGAAGCTCAACTCTGAGATCACCTCATGCAAGGAAAAAATAAACACCCTAGAGCCTACATCAAGGTAAAAATATGCAGATTTGGTAGCCTAACGTTAACGTAGGCTCTAGGGTGTTTAGTTTTTCCCTTGTATAAGGTGAGATCGCGCCACTGGTTGAACTTACAAAGACGACGAGCTGGCTGGTAGACATAAGCACATCTAACACCCTAACGAAAATAGCTATACACGTTGAAGTGTATTGTTTGGTCTATGTGACCAGCTATCTGCATGCATACCCGATAACACTAAAGAAGAACCTCCCGATACAAGTCCCCTTAACGCCAGTCCATCATTTGTCTTTTTTGCGTATATCCTTCCCACTTTCTCTATTCAAAACGAGCAGATTCCTGCCAAACCGCGTCAATCCTCCACGGAAGCCTGCACGCCAGCGATACACTCTGACAATCTGGCGCGCTCTGAACGCTCGGCGTCGCCATGCGGGGTATTGAGGTTCCGCCTCAGGTTGAGGTTCCACGGGGGATTGAGGTGCCACAGGCGGATCCTCTTCCCCGCCATCGTACGTGTATCCAGGGGGCGGAATTCCGCCTGGAACACGGCTTCCGATTAAAGGCTGACGTTCGCTTGGGCCTTCATACGGAGTATGCTGGATTGAGCTTGTGCTGTCGTTGGGTGGCCCTGTGTAGGGCATGATGTCCATACTGTGTGATCTGGACGGATTACGGGACCCAGTGAGCGGCGCATTTTCGAATTGAAATGGACTACCGAGACGTGGACCGTGAGAAAAATAGTCACTGTCGTGCCGACTGGATGGGTGCCCTGATGGTCCAGCCGCCGGGGGTTCATTATCCCGAGCGTGTTGTAGTTCATTCTGCTCATGGAAGTGCTCAGATGCAGCGGCTGATAAGTCGGAAGAGGAAGAATACCCAGACGACACAGAGCCGAGGGACCCCCCAGGTAAAGCTTGGTCTTCGGCAGAGACCTCAGTGGAGTCGTAGAAATCATCACCTGCTGGCATGTCGTGGTCGAACTCGTCGTCTTCTCCTGGCGGCCCAGCGCCTCCTCGAAGAGTACCAGTTGTGATCTTGTTTGGTCCCGACGCTTGGTTTGCATGCTTGTCCGAAGTACGCTGCTGACTTGTATACGTCAAGTCGATCGTTGTCGAGATTTGCTGCGAGACTGTGGGCCGAATAGCGAGTGCTTGAGGTAGCTTTGCAGCATGTGTGTGTATGTGCGAAGGTACGGAAACATCGTCCGAGCTATTGAATACGCCTTGCGAGTAGGGAAGAGCTGCCATGATAACGATGGGTCGGGGTATGCTGGTTGGATAACGAAAGCCAAGCAATGTAATACTGGTAGAATAAGCGGTGATCGGGTCGGGATGATAGAGTTGCGTGGGAGAAAAGATGCTGGCTTTGTTGATGCATATAGTAGGCGAAATGGGATTGCGCCTGCGTTCTGTATGTGCCTCAAGGCGGAACTTCTTTCCCATCCCAGTCCCAACACTTCCCTCGTCCTTCAGGCGCCACTTCCCTGATCACATCAATCAGCCTTTCTGCGACCCAGTCGCGCTCGAATAGCTTTTCCTTCTTGACGTTGCTCCAGAAGTCCTTGCTCAACCCA